TTTATTTATTTATTTATTTATTTAATTTTTTTTTTTATTGTTGGTCGTTCAAAACATTACACAGTTCTTAATACATCATCTTTCACAGTTTGATTCAAGTGGGTTATGAACTCCAAACTTTACCCCATATACAGATTGCTATCCCCAGTCCTTTTTAATTTTTATTTTGAGAAAGGGTCTCAGTTTCTGAAGCTCGCCTTGAACCTGTGATCCTCCTGTCTTAGCCTCCTTAGTTGCTGGGATTGTAGGCATGCACCACCATGCCTGGCTTGTTTTCTTATCTTTAGGATGGGGTAATAATAAGACAGCTTTCCATCAAGGTTGTCCAGAGGATTGAATGAGAAAATTCTTGGAAAGTGTGTAGAAGTAGCACATGATTCCTCCACAAGCCATTGCTGCCGTTACTGTAGTTGTTATTTATTCCTGCTTAATTAAAACTGTATGTCCTTTCCCAAAACAAAACAACAGAAGAGCCACCCCCCAAAACCTAAAACAAAACAAAAACTACTAACAAGTAAGTAATAAAGTAAGCATGAAAGAAAACTGATTAAGAGATTTACTGAAAAGGAAAGCCTGCATTTTTCTATTGTAAATCAAAAAAAAAAAAAAGCCTTAAAGCCTGTCAAGAGCGTTTGCTTACATCCTCTCAATTCTCTGATAACCTGTAAGTGAAGCCAAGAAAACACTGTTACCCCATTTTAAAGATGGAGAGATGGAGGTCCCTGGAAGTTAAGGGTCTTACCCAAGGTCAGAGGCCCACTTGGAGGTAAATGCTGGGCCAGAAGGTTCTCCTGGGGCCTCTACTCCTGAGCCCACCCCATCTGCCTCCTGCTGCCACCCCCTCCTCCTGGCTTTTCTCTGGCCATTGTGTTCTGCCCTCCCTTCCCTTGGGACTCCTGAGTGTGGTGGACTGAGTGGCATCATGCCAGCCCAGAGTTGGAAAGAGAGTGACAGCTTCCCCCTCCACCCCCAGATCCGCTCTGTGATCAGGAGGAGCCGGGAGACGGGCCACGCGCACCCCATGTCCCGGGAGCCCTCTCCTCGCCGCCGGCTGGACCCCGCCACCCTGAGCAGGACCCCATCTCAGGAGCAGCTAATCGCAGAGCTGCAGGGCCGGCTGGGCATCCAGCCGGAGGTGGAGGAGGTCGCGGGGCCACCAGGGCCCTCCACGCAGGACTGGCTGACCGAGGGTGTCGTCATCACCGTGCAGTCACGCGGGAGGCGGGCTGGGGGGCAGCTGGTAGAGAAGGTAGCCAGGAGATGCTGGGCAGCAGGTGTCCAGATGTTTCCTTGGTCCTCTCCTCGGCCAGAGGAGGGATTTAAGGGTGGTGGGGTGGTTACTTACATCCTGTGGCCTTATTGGGAGGTTGGCCTCACTTTTGGTGCCAAGTGGGAAGGCCTGGTGGGATCTGGGACCTCACTTCCCCAGTCCCCCTGCTCTCTGGGCTGATGATTTCTTCTGTCTCCTTCATCTCTCTCCCCGTTTCCTCTTCCCAGGTTGTCTTCCCTCCCGACTCTCCCATTCCCCTCAGAAGAACCATCTCTGTTCTGGCTCCTCCTTCTGTCCCTTTGCCGCAGCATCTCCAGGACGCCTCGGCCAGCAGCTCTTCTCCCCTATCCTCTTCCTCCCCTCTGGGGTCCTCAGCTCGTACCCATGGTTCTCCTGGGGTCCAGAGTGCGGGGGAAGCACCCCGTGATGAGGATGGGCAGGGCGCCACCTCTCCCACTCGCACAGCCCACACTGTGAGGTCCGTGGGCTGTCAGACCGACGAGGACCCACTCTTCTCCCCGATGCAGGCAGGCCTCCCAGGGGCACCAGCACTGACCTTGCTCATTCCCTGTCCTTGTGCCTATGCCACCCCCTACTCTGCATGTGGGCAAATGCCGCGCACGTGTGCACACACACACACACACACACACACACACACACAGGGGTTTCCCTCCGTCCACAGCCCTAGCACAAGAACCACCACAGTCCTTCCCTAGACCTTGACCCTGGCCACACCTCTCAGGAAATCAACTGACTTCTTGCTTTCCTGTGAGGCTTCCCTTCTGCCCACCCCTCCCTACTTCCTCCGGGTATTGACACAGAGGAATTCATTCCAGAGAGGAACCCAAAGCCCATCTCTTCCCCTTCCGGTCCATAGGCCCAGTACCTGGTGAGGCCTCTTTGCTCTCTGGCCCTAATCACCTCCCTTTCTCGTCCCGTGCCTTTGGGTGGCTTGCCTCCCTCTCCTGGGCCTTCCTCTCTGGGTTTCTCTAGATTTCTGTCTCCTGGTTTTGGTATTGCCAGTAGGGAAAGATCCTCGTAGCTCATCTTGAATTCCCTGTGTGAAAGAGCCCGATGACAATGTCTCTTATTCTTTAGTTTTTTTAAAAGAAAAGTTTCTTCTCCTTTCCTCCCCTATCTAAGATGCACAGCCTGGAACAAAGAGCGGATGGAGAGTGGCACTCCAGCTGGCCTCCAGGGGGCAGGCAGAGCAGCCCTGAAGGGCAGGACGAGGGAGGGGTCAGTGCCAGGGCCGGGGGCTGAGCTCCTGTTTGTGGTGTTTCCCTGGGTACAGCAGGGTGCTACCAGCCCTTTCTTTTATCCCTTGGGAGCCCCCATCCACCAGGATGGCCTGCAAATGTCACTCCCATGTTTAGGGCTCCCCAGGCCCCTGCCTCACTGGTACTACATGTACAGGAGGGAGAGCGGCCTCCGGGCTGCAGTGCTTCAAGATGCCCTGCTGACCCCATACCCCAGACGTCCTGACCAGCCCCCGTCCCTCTCCACAGTTCATGGCTCAGGGGAAGACTGGGAGCAGCTCACCCCCCGGGGGACCCCCAAAGCCTGGGAGCCAGCTGGACAGCATGCTGGGGAGCCTACAGTCTGACCTGAACAAGTTGGGGGTCGCCACGGTTGCCAAAGGAGTCTGCGGGGCCTGCAAGAAGCCCATCGCCGGGCAGGTGATGAGTGGGGAGGTGGGCACAGAGCCCTGTGCTCTGCTCCTCTCCTCTCCTCTCCCTGAGCCACCTTCCATTGTCCTCCTCAGGTTGTGACTGCCATGGGGAAGACTTGGCACCCTGAACACTTTGTCTGCACCCACTGCCAGGAAGAGATCGGATCCCGGAACTTCTTCGAGCGGGATGGACAGCCCTACTGTGAAAAGGACTATCACAACCTCTTCTCCCCACGCTGCTACTACTGCAACGGTCCCATCCTGGATGTGAGCTTATGCTGGTGGCACAGTGGTGGGATGGGGGGGGGCAGCCAGGATTTCCCCTTATCTGGGCACGATGCCCGCATCAGCTCATTTCATCTTTGCCATAGCCCTCAGAGGGTGTGGGCTCAGAGAAATGGTGGAAACTAAGATTCAAACCCAGGCTTGATCCACAGGTCATCCTGATGCACATTAGGTAGCTCCAGTTCCCCTCCACTTCTGTCCAGAATTCCTTCTGCAAGACTCCTAGGAATTAGGAGCCCTGACCAACAAATGAAGCTGAACGGCAGCCGTCTCACTCTTCCTGCTGTGTGATGTTAGGGAAATGCCTCGCCTTTCTGAGACTAGTCTCTTTACTTATAAAATAGGAGTCATGAACCTATGATCTCAGTCCTTTGTGAGGATTAAAGGAGAGAGGGTCTGGCATGTCACATCTTTTAATAAATCTGAACTCTTAGATTGAATTTTTGAGTATAAGTAGGAGAGACCTTGTTGGGAACATTTTACTCTTGTTGGCTATGAGCTGGAAACAAGGTGGGAAGGACAGTGGCACCTGAGTCTCAGTTGTGAGTGGCAGCTGAAATTTCTTTTTCGTTTTTTTGGACCAGAGATTGAACTCAGGGACCCTTGACCACTAAGCCCCAGCCCCAGCTCTATTTTGTATTTTATTTAGAGACAGGGTCTCACTGAGTGACTTAGTGCCTCCCTGTTGCTGAGGCTGGCTCTGAACTTGCGATCTTCCTACCTCAGCCTCCTTTGGTGCCAGGATGACAGGCAGGCACCACCTCACCTGGATGACAGCTGGACTTTCATTCCCACTGTTTGCTTTCACAGAAAGTGGTGACGGCCCTTGACCGGACTTGGCATCCTGAGCACTTCTTTTGTGCCCAATGTGGAGCCTTCTTTGGTCCTGAAGGTACGGCAGGACTGGAAGGACTAACCCACTGTCCCCTCGGAGGGCTGGGAGACTCTGCTGAGGTTGGGGTAAGGGTAACTCCATTTCTGAAGGCCCTAAACTTGCTCCTAATCCCTTGTTCCTCAGGGTTCCATGAGAAGGATGGCAAGGCCTATTGCCGAAAGGATTATTTTGACATGTTTGCGCCCAAGTGTGGTGGCTGTGCCCGGGCCATCCTGGAGAACTACATCTCAGCCCTCAACACCCTTTGGCATCCTGAGTGCTTTGTGTGCCGGGTAAGGAGCCTTCAAAGCATCTGGAGGGGCTAGAAGAGGCAGCTGGGGGTCCATCAAGGGTTCTCTGATCAAATAAGTTTGGGAAACTTCTAAATGCACATGTGAATCCAAATAGTGACCTAGGATGCAGAGTCCAAGAACAGATCCCATTTTTCAGCACCAGAGTTTCTGGCAACACAATCACAGCCCCTGCTTAGGTACCCAGGAATCCAACCTTGTTTGAATGCAGGGTATGACCTTAGTAGCTGCTGGTCCCTTAACTGCAAGCACGTAGCCCAGCACTCTGCACATAGGAAATGTTGGGCAAGTGAGTCAGTACGAGTGTGATGACCTGGACTGTCCTTGTGCATGATGCCAGGACCTGGCCCAGCCAGAAGGGCCAGCCTCTGAGCCCCTGTCCTACAGCGTGCCCCCTCTCTGTCTGGCAGGAATGCTTCACACCTTTCATCAACGGCAGCTTCTTTGAGCATGACGGGCAGCCGTACTGCGAGGTGCACTACCATGAGCGGCGCGGCTCGCTGTGCTCTGGCTGCCAGAAGCCCATCACGGGGCGCTGCATCACCGCCATGGCCAAGAAGTTCCACCCGGAGCACTTTGTCTGTGCCTTCTGCCTCAAGCAGCTGAACAAGGGCACCTTCAAGGAGCAAAATGACAAGCCTTACTGCCAGAACTGCTTCCTCAAGCTCTTCTGCTAGGCGTCCCTTCCCCAGCCCCGCCGCCCTGACTGCTACTGTGACCCAGAGACGTGGAAACTGGAACCCTCATCCTCAGCTGGCACAGGATGGGACAAGGGGCATGGGGGTCCTGTGTGCTTCTCTAGCCCCCACCAAAGCCTTGGGCCTCCCTTCTCTTCCTACAGCTCTCCCCAGGCTGCCCACTCCTCATCCTCCTGGAGGTGGAGGCTGGGGGCTCCATCCCACCTGACATGTGTCCCCATGAACCTGCCCGGCCTGGCCAGCAACCCACACTGGAGCCATCTTGTACTCCGATTTCAGCAGCAGAGCTTGGGAGGGAAGGGCCGGCAGGGTTACATGGAGTCTCTTTTTATCCTTATCCCCTCAAACCACAGTCTAACTGTCCTGAGAGAATTGGGGGGTTCCCTGCTCCCTCCAAACAATGCCAGCATAAACCCATCCATCCAAGGGTGGAAGTGCTCAAGGGACTGCAGGTTTCTTGGGCTCTCGCCTTCCAGTCTCCCCAGGCCTGGGTGACTGTCCCCTTTCCCAACTGCCTCTTTTATAACTGCTCCAGTTCTACTGAGAAAGGCCTCTCCAGCAATAATGTTTTATAGCCACTTCCTCCATCTCCCAGGACAGCACCCATGGGGAGTGTCGCCTGGGCCTGGACACTGTACCGACTTTGATAGATTTCTACACTGAGGTTTGAATTATGTCACCCAAGTTGCTTTTATTTCTCGATACAAGATGATTTTGAAGAGATTTTAAAGACGTTCCCTTTTATATTCTCCTCCTCCTCATCCACTGCTGCTGGTCCTGTCAGTGACCATGGCTTTGGCTTGGAGTTTGCTTTGTACCGGGTCGGGGAGCAATTTGTATTTTATTTTTTTCTTGGCGTAAGCAGGTGAACTGGGAGCAGCTCTGTGACTCTTCTTCTGTAACTTCATGGCTCACCAGGACTGTTTTATAAACTGCTGTATTTTGAAACCCCTTCCTTTCTGCCCAGGCCAGCAGCTCTTAATTCAAACTGGCCTGAGTGTGTCTGACCCTTTGGGACCTGGAATTCTGAACCTCATCTGTCCTGTTCCTAAGGGAGGAGAAGGGGAAAGTATACTTGGGGGGCTGCTTCCTGTCTGAGTAGGAGCTTTTTGGCAACAAAGAACCCACTGAACATTCTCGGCCTCCTCACTACTTCTCCAGGGCTTTCTCCTGTCTTCTCAGGAAAAATTGGTTTCTGATTTTGACCATGAAGACCATAAATGTCTCTTTGGTCTTATTGATTCCACTGGGCATATTCCTTCCTCAAATTTCCTGCCCTCCCTGGAGACTGGCACAGGTTCCTCCCCCTTTACAGGGGTGATTGGCACTTCAATTTGGGAAGAAGGCCCCAGGTTGGTGCAAGGGAGCCTGAGAGGATTTGGGGCAGAGGGACAGGGTCCTGCTGAAGCGACAGGAAGCCCCAGAGCTCTTTCCCAGGATAAAGCAGGAGCAGGCAGGCCTGGGTTTCCTGGTCAAGGGCAAGGGACCCCAGAGTGGTCTACTGGGAGGGATTCAGACCGGTCCACAGGCCTCCCAGCACAGGCTGAGTATGCTGCGGTCCCAGAAGAGGATCTTTTCCTCTGGGCTGGCCTGGGAGCTGCCTAGGTCTGGGAGGTCCTCCAAAGGTCTGACATCTCCACGCCCACCACAGGCCTTACTGCTCTGTTTACAATGACCCACTCCAGGTCCCTCCCCAAGAGGGACTGGGGTTTCTGGGAGTCAACCCTCTGGGTCAATGGTTATTTGATCATTTGATTTTTTTTTTTCTCTATAAACTTCTAACCTGGCCTTTTCCATTTCAATTCCTGTGATTCATGCCAATAAAGTGTGCCATTATTTTCACCTGTGCTAGTGCCATTTCTTGGTGATCTGACAACCAAGTGGTCCCAGAAGAGAAACTGAACCCTCCCCAAACTCAGAGGGAGGGAAAATCATTGGTGTTCTTTCCTTGGAAGCTCTACTATGGTGCTGCTGTCCCGTGGATCCGCTGAGGGTATCCCTGAGGACCTGTGGGTGTCTTTCCACTCATTTAGATGTGGAAAGAGGTTGGAGAGGATCTTGACATGTACAAGGCAATCCCCAGGGCCCACAGAGCCATGATGGGAGCCCAGGACATGCCCCTGCCTGTGTTTCTGTGGAGCCAGATGCCCAACACCTTGGCTGCGACCCCTTCCTGGCAGAATGCCCCTGACATACAGTTGCAGGTGGCTCTCTACTGTCTCCCTGTGGTCATGTTCATATTTGCATGCTTCCTCTATGCACTTGCTAGATCCAAGGCAGCCAAGCTGTCTGGATGGCATTATTCCACCTTGAGCTGTGGCCTCAGTTTCCCTGTCATTTGAAACAGTCCTCCAGAAGCAGTGTGTTGAATTCAAGCCTAAAACCTGGTCGTTTCACAGTGACCTCGGAAGTGAACATTACCTTCAACCCCACCCAAAGATAATAACTTATTCTTCTAGACCATCTTGGGGTCATTCTGTTTATAGGAATGGCTGTGGCACATCTCATTGTAATTTGATTTTTCACTCAAAATTGCTTTGTGGATAATTTTCCATGTCAGTGAATATAGATCTTCATCACTTTTTAATGTCTTCATGGTATCTTTATGTTGAAGTGCTGCAATTAGATATATTGTCAGAGACAGGATGTCCTTGGAAATTTACCATGAGAGTATGTATGTTGGAAAAGTGCACTTAGAGGGGACTGACTCAGAGTTTGGAAGGGACTGTATAGCATATTGAGGCCCATGGGCTTTGAACTTGTCCTGGATTTCAGTTCTGAAACCACCATTTATAGGCTGAGAGACCTGGGCAAATTATTTATGTCTCTGTTGAGTTTTCTGATGAATAAAATGGGAATACTAATATTTTACCTCCTCAGAGGATTGTTGTAAAGATTTACTATTAGGATTGTGCACAAAGTATTTAACACAATGCTGAGTGTGCAGAAATACATTGTCATTAAAAAGAAATCTTAGCAGTAATCTAGACATTCTCAAATTGGGCTAATCACTAGAAGCATTAGGAGACTTAAAAACAAAAAACAAGGGTTGAAGGTATGGCTCAGTGGTAGAGCACTTGTCTTAGCATATTTTGAGATCTTGAGTTCAATCCCCAGCACCACCACATATACAAAAAATTAAAATACACCTTCATGGATCCCACTCCTATAGATGAATTTGTTCAGGTCTGGGAATAGTTCCTGTTAACTGTGATGCAAAAAGATGGCTTCATGAATAACTATCCAAGGAGGCACCATAACAAAATTAGATGCAAGACAGGCATGTCAGAACTTCACCTTTAGACCAGCCTTGCTGGGGGAAAATTTCTAGACACAGAACTTGGGACTGTACACAGTTATAGCCAACTGTTTGTTGGTCATATATGGTCCAGATAAACTCAATGGAAATATCTAACTTGGTCAAGTGAAGAGGGTGAAGATAGGGTGAAACATCCCCAAATTTTTATTGTACAATTATTCAAATAATACAATTATTGAAATAATTGTTCAATGTAATTATAAGGTAACATTTATTGACTTTCTTCTATCCCAGGAAATATGTTGTCTTAACATATAATTAATCCTCATAACAATCCTAGAATGTGGGTATAATTATTATCCCTCTTTTACAGTTAAAAAATGGGAAATAGGCAGGGTGCAGGGGTGAACATCTATAATCCCAGTGGCTTGGGAGACTGAGGCAGGAGGATCACCAGTTCAAGTCTCAGCAACTCAGGCTGAGGCTGGAGAATCGTGAGTTGAAAGCCAGCCCCAGCAATTTAGAAGGTGCTTAGAAGGTTCTCAGTGAGACCCTGTCTCAAAATACAAAATAGGGCTGGGGATGTGGCTCAGTGGTTGAGTACCCCTGAGTTCAATCCCCAGTACCTAAATAAATAAATAAATAAATGGGACAGAGGCTGGGGATGTGGCTCACTGGGTTCAATCCCTGGTACCAGGAGTGGGGAAGGGTGGGGGGAACAGGGTCTGCAAGGTGGAATCACTTTTTAAGATGACATCACAGCTAGTAAGTGGCAGAATCATCTAGTTGCAAGTCCTGCATTCATTCATTCAGCAAAACCTTACTATATGTCTACTACACCTCGCATAGGACATAAGTCTGTGTCCTTGTGGAGTTGGAATTCCTGCAGGAAGAGGCAGACAAAAAGTAATGAAATAAATTATATAATGAGTGAGAAGATGTAAGTGTATGGGGGAGGGGGCAGAATGAGGGAGAGTAGGAGTGAGGTGGTTTTTTTTTTTTTTTTTGTAATTTTAAATACCGAAGTCAGTGTATGCCACATTCAGCAGGTGATGTTAGCCTCAAGACTTGGTGTAGGTTAATTCTTTGGGTGGACACTGGCTAGGAGTGGTCCAGATGGAGGAAAGAGCCATGCAAACAGCCCTAACTAAAGTCAGTAGTGCTTTGGAAAAGCAGCAAATTGAGAATGGTCTAGTTAGAAGTGAAAGTCAGTGGGAAAATACATGAGATGATGGTGAAAGAATCAGTGGGAAGATAGATGAGATTATGGGGTGAAGACTGGGTAAATTTTAGGCTTTTACTCTGAGTTAAGTGTGGAGGATTTGACGAGTTTGAGCAGATAAGGACTTAGGTTTTAAAGGATCCCTGTTTTGGTGGAATAGGAGGCAACAAACCATTTTGTTTCTAAGGTAGTTGCGATTTATTTCTCAACTCGTCGTCATACCCTACAGTTTGCCGAGTTGGTCAAGTGGCAATGGGACACACCGAGTCTTAATTCACACAATGTAGCTCCTAGTCAAACGTAACTCCACCCCAGCAGGGGGCAGAGGCTCTGAAAAAGAGAGAGCTCTTCCTACCTAAGGTAGCGTCTTCCTTAACTACCCTGCTTAAAGGTGGCTTCCGGTTGGCCAGAGTGGCAGTGATGTCATCCAATGGTTGCCTACATTAGTTCGGCTCGTCCGGATGAGCGCCAGCACCAGCCAATACGCAGGGATGCTGTCCTCGGCTTCTGATTGGCTCCTTCATTAACATATAAAAGACACGCGCCGGCGCGCGGCCCTTTTCTCGCCAGGCGTCCTCGTGAGAGGTTTGTGCTGCCGCCTGTTCCATGCGGTGGGCTGGTGGCAGGAAGCCTGGGATCTTTGGGTGATCGGAGTGTCTGTGCGCGCGCATGTGTGTGTATGTATGTGGTGGAGCGCTGTTTGGGGACTATGGGACCCCGACCAGTCCCGCCTGGGACCTCGGCGGCGGATCGCGCTCCACAGCTTGATGGCGGCTGCTGGTCCAGGCCCGGCGGGCGCTGGCGCGTGGTTAGCACCGCAAAGGCCTCAGACCAAAAGGACAGGTGTCGGGTTGGCGGGGTCTGAGCTCCCTTTCTCCCTTCAGTGACACCGTCTTTAAACCCTGCGTGGCAATCCCTGACGCACCGTCGTGATGCCCAGGGAAGACAGGGCGACCTGGAAGTCCAACTACTTCCTTAAGATCATCGTAAGTGCGGAATGGGCTGTGGCCAATCATCATGTGTTCCTGGGCGCCAATAGGGACAGTCACCTGCCAGGTGCTGTTGCTTGGTGACAGCTACTGAATTAGGCAATTTGGGGTGTATCTCCTATAGTCTTAATTTCCCCTGATGACCCCCCCCCCCCGCGCTTTGTTGATGAAAAGGCTCAGGCAAGTCAAATAGTTTATCTTAGCTCATGTCATACTTTGTTCCCTTGCCTACCTTTTTGGGGAGATCTGAGACAAGGAGTGACTCATTGTAAAGAGCCTTAGTATTACACATTTAGGACCTGTCAGTCAAGAAATTCAGTGTCCAGTGACTTATTTTGAATGGCTTTTGAGGTGGGGCTTCCTTAGTCTCAAACTCTGACCATGTTGCTCTTTAGGAACTAGGCCACATTGTAGAGCTTAGTCTGTATTTAGTCTTGCACTTTTATCATGAAGGTTTTCAAACAAAAAGCTTTAATCTATAAGTACACAATGTACATCCTACAAGGGGTGTTTTGCAGTGTTTGCTTTATGTTTTGATTGCCTAAAGTCCATGTCATCAGATGATCAACTTATTGGGAACAGTTTTCTGTTAATGCAGCCATTTTGATGAATCAGAAACATTTCACAATTGGAAAAAGAGAACAGTGGAAACTAAATGTATATTTTTCTTAAAGATTTCTTTTTTAGCTGTAGATGGACACAATACCTTTATTTTATTCTTATTTAATTTTTTGTGGTGCTGAGGATTGAACCCAGTGCCTCACACATGCCAGGCAAGCACTCTGCCACTGAGCCACAACTCCAGCCCCACTAAATGTACATTTAAAAAGCTTTGATTAAACATAGAAAGCTAGTTTTTAGTATACATAGCAAGCAAATCAGGATCAAATATGATAGTGTTACAATTTGGGAGGATCTGGTAGGTAAGACTGGCCCAATATAGAGGGACTTCAAAAGGTTGGAAGAAAAGAAGATGGAAATGAGTGATTATGGGGTTTAGTTTCTGCTGACATTTTTTTCTGCCTTCCTCCTGCTAAACTTTGCTTGTTTCTGGCTTGTTTTTGTAGCAACTTTTGGATGACTATCCAAAATGCTTCATTGTGGGAGCAGACAATGTGGGCTCCAAGCAGATGCAGCAGATCCGAATGTCCCTCCGGGGGAAGGCTGTAGTGCTGATGGGCAAAAACACTATGATGCGCAAGGCCATTCGAGGGCATCTGGAAAACAACCCAGCTCTAGAGAAGTCAGTCAATGCTTCTGTCAACTTTGTCCTCCTTTCCTAGTGCCCTTCTCCCTTTTCCTGGAGAAGAATGGTGCTTTCAGGTAACATCTCTTGTGAACTTCTCTTTGCAGACTGTTGCCTCATATCAGG